CTCTTTTCCCGCGTTGCCATATCTGAGTAGTCTTCCTCCTATACGCTGCCGTCTAAGGAGGCCCAACCAAAGGTTTGCAGCCTTAGGCCAACCCAGATGGTGGTGCATCCCCCAATTCCAATGCCAAAGCCCCACGGATTTTCCTTGGCTCACACTTGGAGAACCACCATTGAAGAAGAAGCCATCTCGCCGCTCCGAACGTCGTCGTCGCGTTTTTTCTCACCTCCGCACGAGAACGACCCCTCCTGGATTGATGCTTGTAACCGTCTTGATGAGTTCTCTTCGCCCTATCTCCATTCACCACCTTCACCACCTTCGCCACTTAGGCCAATGTGAGGATAAATATATTTTAACTCCTGAAAACTTAGTTTTACAAATATTTTTTAACAATACCCACACCTTGCATAGTTGACATCTAACTTGTAACCTTTTTTGTGCTAAACAGGTTCCATACTCGTGAAACGGCTAGAAAACATGTTACACCCACAAAGTGGGCATGCTCGCGATTCAACAGAGCTTCAACCTCACAGGTTCCGCAAATGCGCAAACGTGGACGCGCTCACAAGCACTCGTTACCTATGGTTATGCATGAAACCTTAGAACGTTATCCGAGAATAGAGCAGGGCAGGCGTTCAGTTCAGCAATACCATTTGGACTATGCACTTGATGCAGAAGCCAATGGTAAAGGTTTTTGTTGCTCAACTCACTGTGCTATAAAATTCTGGGATGGACTTAACAAGGAAATCCGCGACCAGGTTCCTAGTCCGACTAAGGACGAGAGGTGCAAGCGGACTAAGAATGTTCTCGAACTTGCTAAGGCTGCTGAGAACGAGATCCAAGAAGAACGGGAATGTGAATTAGAAAATTTGGCAAATGACTCTGATTCTGATTTTGGTTTTGATTAAGTTTTATCATATCTTTAAGCATATGTACAATTACACTTTATTTTCTAAATATTATAATAAAACTAAGATTTTCTGAATGGTGTATTAAGAACAAATCTTAAACCCTAAAATCAAACCCTAAACCCTAAAATCAAACCCTAAACCCTAAAATCAAATCCTAAACCTTAAAACCAAACCTTAAACCCTAAGATCAAACCATAAACTGAAAATATCAATTGAAAATTTTATCTTCAAAATTTTGTTAACACTTGCATAATTTTTTTTTTATAGAAATATATCCTAAACCCTTAAACTCAAACCCTAAGTCCATAACACAAACTCTAAACCTTTTAAAATTTAACTGATTTTTGTAATAAATTTAAAATTTAACTAAATTTTGTTTCTTATTACTATAAAAACTAAACAAATTTTAGTTTCAGATTATAATTATGATTACTCTAAGTTATATGTACTTATAATAATTTTTAATTATAAAATTTCTCTAATTTTTTGATTAAATCATGCACAAAATTATTTAAACCACCAATTCAAATTAAACCATTAATTATTTGGTTAAACCACCAAATTTTGGTTTCCCTCCAATTAATTTGGTTGATCCCACCAAATTTTGGTTGATCCCACCAAATTTTGGTTTATCCCACCAAATCAATTTTACCCCAAATATTCGACCCAACACTTAACAGAAATCTCTATCTGGTCTTCTTCCTCTCGAACCTTCTTCGTTCCTTTGTCTTTATCGTTTTCTTCTCCCAGCTTCTTCCTCTCGATACCTCACTTTATCTCTTGTTCGATTCCTAAATCGTAAACAATCTCTTGCTCTTCGTCTTCATCGTGTCCTAACAATCTCTCTTCTCTCTTTGTCGATTTCTCTTCTCTCTTTGTCGATCTCTCTTCTCTCTCAATGGCTCCTCCTCGCCAAAACCGACAAAACCGCCGTAACCCAGTCACCGCCAACAACCACGACTCGGGTAACTCTTATGGATCTATAAAAAATTAGGGTTTATCGTTTTGATTGAAGTTTGGATTAGATTTAGGGTTTTTATTTGGGGTTTCTTTTGTGTGGCTAATTTTTGTTTGTTTAGAGTTCTAATTGAGTTTTGATTGGGGTTTCTCTTGCGTGAAGTTTTGACTAGAATTTGGGTTACTAATTTTTGCGAAACTATCACTAATTTTTGTGAAACTGTCAATAATTTCCGCGAAAGTATCACTAATTTTTTATTATGTTGTTTCAATAATTTCCATAAAATTTCACATCCCCCTTCTCTTCTCTTCTGCTGTTTCATCCAATTTTTTATAGGTTTTTTTCTTTCAGAGTTTCTCAAGGTAAATCAAAAGCTATTTGATTTGTTCATGTAAAGCTTGATCACTTAGCCAAATTCGTTTTTTATAGACTCCAAGTGTTGTCTTGTTGATATAAAGCTTCCAGATTCATACTGAGATTCTTCTTGTCTTCTACATTTTAAGATTTCTTTTTTTGCCTTTCTATCTTTCACTTTATATGCCTTCCTCTACATTCGTACCTTAGTAACTACTCTAATCAAAGTGAAAACATTGACTCTGGCTTCTGTATAGTATGATGATGATTTGATTTTACCTCCCAAAAAAGCAGATTTGTGCTCAAGTTTAGAGATGTTGATACAATTGAAAAGAGGAAAAGCAAAATGATCAAATGGAACCGAAAACATTTTATAAAATTTCACTAATTTTTGAACGATGTGTTTGGAGTTCGAATTGAGTTTTGATTGGGGTTTCTCTTGCTTGAAGTTTAGACTAGAATTTGCTTTCAAGCTTTCCATTAATTATTTATCACATTGTGGATTTATAACCTACATTGCATATAATCAAGATGTCGACTAGAATTTCGGTTTCGAATTGAGTATATGTTCGCTCACATTATTGTTTTTATGTGTTTTCTCACATTATTGTCCTTATGTGTTTTCTCACATTATTGTTCTTATGTGTGAGCGTGTATATGTGTTTAGCTATAATCTTTATTGTTCTTAAGTTATGTTTTAGTTGTTTTGACAGGTCATGCCATACCACCAGGAGCTGTAGGGTCTAGAAGCTCTTCAGGTCCTCACTCGCCACTAGGAGCTGTTGGATCTACAAGTGGTCCTGCCATGCCACCAAGCGCTGCATCTTCAGGAGCTAATAACTATGATAATCGCTTTTGTTATGGTCTAATGCAGCAGAGAGGTTATCAAAACTCTAATGCAAGCAATGTTGTAGTAAGGCAAGCAGGAGAGTGTCAATCCACTTCTAGATGATAGAGAATCCACAGAGAATGCAAGGTCTAAGACAAATCTAAGCAAATGAGACAGTTTATGAGAAATAATCTAAAAACTAAATGCAACAACCTAAATGGAATGAAACCTATTTTAAAAATACTAGAAAGGAAGCAGTTACCACGAGGAACAAACAGATAAATTAAAGAGAAGAGCTTCGAATTGTTAAAATTCGACTAGTGGATCGACCACAAGATCGACCACTAGATCGAGCAGAAACGATCGATCTCGTCTAAAACCGTAAGAATAATGAATCTAAAGACCAGGATGCTATCAGGTAATAAGCTAAAGATGATATGAGACGTAAATATGCTAGAAGAGAGGGCTTGAGGGTTGAGATTCATATAAGGGGTTTCAAGGAATGATCTTGGGTTTGAAACTTTGGATCGACTCACTTGGTGAGGATCTCTAAGCCTCGAAAACAAAACAAGATCTATCCGTGGCTTTTGGTATAGATCACTCTTTCATCCTCTCCTCCAAACCCATGGCTTTTGGTGGAAAGAGAGGTCGAAAGGCAAGGAAAACAGATTTCGAACAATGGCTTAACTAGTCCCCCAAACTTCCATGGCTTTTGGGAAGGGGTAACTAGTCTCTAAGGTGAGATTTTCCGAGGCCCCTGGATCCTGTCAAGGTAAGGGACCTCTTGGATCATGAAGCTCTTGGCGTGAGAGTCTTCAAGCATTAAGCTTTCAACACCTTAGAAGAGATAGCCTTAAAAACGTTTAGAAAACAAACCAAGATCGAACCTTTTCTACCCCTTAATCCTCTCAACCCCTAACCCAAAGTAAACTACTCACTACACATAAAGTAAATCAAGCAAGGTGGAAGAAATGAAACGATAAACATGAAACAACGACTAGATTAAACGATAAGGTTCGAGAATACAAAAGCTTGAAAAGAAAACTGGTTCAACAATGGTGTTCTTCCGAAAAACGAGAGAGAAAACTTGAAGGAAAAAGATAAGAAATCTAAAAAGTTATCGAAAAAGCATTCGCCGCCTTGCCTAAAATGTCAAAACAGTCCAATGGTCCCCCCTTCGCTAACAGCCAAAAACGGTTGAAAGGACAGAGATCGACCATTGGATCGAGTTGTTCTATCGATCATATCTGGCCATCGTGTCTTCGGCTCGATCCGGGTCTCGATCTTCTTCGGTGAATCGAGTGCTGCATCCGATCTTGGTATCGATCTTTGGGAGGATCGAGTGATGTACTCGATCCAGCTCTCGCTCTGCATGGCGTTATTTACGTCCATACCGATACATCGATTGCTTCACTCGATCTCCATCTCGATCATTATCCTTGGATCGCCTAGTTGGCTCGATCTTCTGGTCGATCAACTCCTAGATCGACCGGCCATGCTCGATCTGCTCCTCGATCACTGGTCCTTAGCACACTCTCGAGCTTCCATGAACTGCTACATCGGCCTCCACACCTCCACGAACCTCCGTGTCTCCAAAGCAACCAGAAACAACCTGGAATGAATGCAAAATGCAGAGAAAATGCACATGCTGATGCAAGAATGCTCTAGGACCCTAAGTGATGCAATCTAGCCTAAAACATGATACAAATGCATGAAAAACTACCTAATGAGTATGCAGAATGTATGCAATATGCAATGATATCAAACTACAACCGTATGACCCTAGACGCATTATTGAATGCTCCCTCGAGAGAGCTTCAGCCACACCTCCATCCAAGGAAACTCAATGGCGCTTTATGGTAAGTTCTCTACATAATCGAGTTCTCTTATTTCTTCTTATAATGTATTGTCTTCTCTGATTGTAATTTTTTTTATCTCAGGTTCGGTGTAGACCCCTCTGTCCACAAATTCATCTGAGCAACATGGCAAGCCTACTACATGGGACCATGGAGTAGCTGAAAATTTGTTCCTCAAGGGAGGAAAGATAAGTGGTGGCAGACTTTTGTGGTAGGTGTTGTGCTTGTTTCAGAATTATTTATTGTTTACTTTTATGTTAATACATATATTAATGTTCATTGTTTTCATTGTAGTAAAACTACTACTCGGAAGATCGTTTTAAATCCGAGGTCTACCGTCTTTGGAAGTTGCACACACAAACAACAATATGCCAAAAGATCAGTAAGAAGAAGAGACTGAACCAGAAGCCTAAGTTCATAGGCGAATCTGACTGGACCACTCTGCTGGAGTTTTGGTCAACAGAACCAGCCCGTAAAAGGAGCAAGTCAGCTCTTTAAGAATAAGAGTGGTTTTACGGGAAATAGATCAAATTCAGGGACAAATTCTTCTAAAGCAGGGAAGAATTGTAACGACCCGAGCCCATATGATTTGAGAGAGGCCCAATTACCTGTTTCAGCCCAGGTTGGCCCAACCCTAGTTCTGTCGTCTTCTTCACCTCCCACGTACAAGACGCAGCAGCAACAAACGAGCGAGCCGCACACTGCTTCGTTAACACCAAACTTCCGCCCAGACCTCGTTGCGCCAGCAGCCGCCGTCATTATTCACGCCGGAGCTACATGACACCAATCTGTACCATCCGATCCCGTGAGGAGAAGCGATCGTGCAGCAACACCGAGTCTTCGCCTTCTCGATCATGCCGCCTCAGTTCGCCGCCACCGTCGATCTGCTGCTCTGAGTCACAATCACCGTCGTTCGTGAGTCATTGTGGTAAGCCGATCCGATCTCCTTCAACACTTCCGTTACATTTTGTTTGTCGTGAGATTGATCCGCCATTGTTGTCCGTGTTCTCCAGATCGAACCTCCGTCTTACCTCCACGTTGAATTGTGATTACGTGAGTATGGTGTTGATATTGCTTTGGGTAAGCGAATCTCACCATGATCCTTATTGTTGTGCACGTATGAGTTTACGGACGTGAGGTTGATGCTTGCGTCTTAAGAAACCTTTGTTCGTTATTATTTTCAGACCATGTTAATCGTAGTTAGCGTGTTGTTCCTGCTGTGAGGTCTTCTGCATGCCTTCATTACAGTTTCGCTTCAGCCGAGAGACTAAGGTGAGGATCGTGGTGGTGCATTCTGTTAATTACGTTTATAATGAGTATATCTTAAGTCATAATTAAGACACATATACCTACATATATGATATATAACATATGTGTATTTGTGTGATAACCGTATATAAATAAATAATTTATATATATATAAGTATATATATATATTTATATATATTCATTGTTGATTAATAAAAACTTAGAAAAATTAAGATTGTTTAAAAACGAATACAATTGATTGATGAGATGAATAATGTGTGATAATGTGTGGTAAAAATTAGTATCGTTTGCGAGATGATAAGTTATGTTGCCTTGGGGCATGTGGCCAATGTATCCGCGGGTTGAAATCATAGTGAAAAGGGTTTGCCCTCACTGTGTGATACGTTTGCGTGTTGAGCTGTGACGACGAGCCTTGCGTGGGTGGTCATAGTTCAGGGTTGTCTGACGAGACAGGTGCTGTTGAGCGGACGAGTGGACTCTCGGAGCCAGCAGGGATACCATAGTTTTATTAGGACTTGATCCTTGTTGTATTGGTGCGTCAGTAGGACGTGATGATTATCTGTGTGTTTTAATTTAGGACTTGCGTATGTCCGTAGTTATAAATGTGTATGATGGATTGAGTGGGCTCTAAAGCTCGCACTCACTGAGTATTGTTAGAATACTCACCCCTCTCCCTTGCAGGTGAGCGTGTGGTGTAGCCGGAGGAGTCGTATCAGTGTGGTGCTCGTTTTCGGGATCACATACATTTTTATTTATTATTATTTTAAGTATTATTTATTTAATAAACTAAAAAATGGTTTTTAGTTAATTTTCTTTATTATTGGTTTAAAGACGGTTTTATGTTGAATCGGTTTAAACATGGTTTAATAAGAGTTATTATTGAACTCAGAAATGATTTATTATGGTTTAAGTTGATAAATAAAATGCCTTCTCGAAGAAGTAAGAGACGGGTGTTACAATATTACTAGCTTAAAATGCAAGCTAGTGTCTACATAAAAGCTTCTCCTTGTCAGCCTAAACTCAACACTTTGTGCATAGATGATTCAAAATCTTCGAAAATAGGCTTCACAATCACACAAGAGAGTGTTTAGGTAACAACGAAGGCTTAGTTGAAGGTGGGGTAAGCTATTTGGACTAGCAAGGGTGGTAAGAAGAAAGAAGAGAGTCTAAAGATGTATATGGTAACTACAGAATCACTTTTTGATGTATGAATATGATAATTCAAAGTTAAATTTATTGTTCAGATTATTAGAGTGGGAATTTAATCAAAGCAAGCTTCAACATAAGACATGAATATCAAAGTAAGAATTCAAAGTATGGTGCAGCCTTAATTTCAAATTTACTACAATGCATCAAACAACTAACAATTAGGACATTGAATTCATTTCAATCATGGACATCTTTCAAGGTGCTTGTCATTACTCCTAATGCATATGTATGCAAACCTATATGAAAAGCAACTAGGATCAATCTTAATTATGCAAATGCAACTAGAATATCTCATTTTTAGCTTCAAATTTTTAGTGATTTTCTATACCAAATATGAATGCATGAGACTCAAAAATGCAAAACAGAAATAAGAAAACACAAAGTCAAATGACCCAAACCTTCCTCCCCCAGACTCAAGGGAAGGACGCAAAAACCCAAGAAAATGCAAGGAGAAATGGTAGTTACAAGGAGTGGAGAAGGGTTTAGAGAGAGTGAGAGAGAGAGAGAACTTACATCGGGGTATCTGATATATCATAATTTTTATGGTTTTTAACCATGATATAAGTCCTTTTTATTGAGTCTTTTTGGTCTTTTTAGAGTCCTAGTAGAGTCTTTGCAGGTTATAGCATCTCTGGAGCATAATTGGAGATATTGAAGCTTTTTCGGGCATTGCAAGTTGAAGCCACGAAGTGTCCAACTCGGAGAAGAAAGTATGCATTTGGGTGACGCTCGTCACCAAGCTAGTGACGCTCGTCACCAAGCTGGTGACGCTCGTCACCAGTAGAGGAAGGAGTCGTGGCCTGATTTTTAAAAAGATTGGTAAGAAATTGCAGTTTTGGCCCAGAAGTTTTAATATTTGCAAAAAGGCCCCAAATCGTGTTTTAGCTTGTATATTAGGTTTTTCAGCCATTCTTTTGGCATATATCTTGCATCTTATTCTTTTTGAGAGCTTTAGAGAGAGATTTGTAGCATAGATTTTGGAGAGACAAATCAAACTCCTTCAGAGCAGATTTCAAACTCCTTTATTTCTATCTCTTATATCTTTTATGCAATTTATTCTTTTCATGATGTTTGATTCATTCACCATGTCTGAGTAGTTTGTTAGTAAAGTTAGGGCTTTTTAAAAGTTTAAGAAGAGTTTGTAGAATTGCTAAACTTATAGAAAATCCATTGGTTCTTCATCTGTGCTTGCATTCATATCGATTTCTTAGACACATCATCTAGATTTCGAAACCCTAGGTTGTTTGATATATGTGAGAGCATTATCAATCACCTGAACTAGTATTAGATGAGCAAAAAAACTTAGTGCAAAGAGATTTGGATTAGGATTTTTGTGAACAATTGAACCTGATCATTACTGCATGTTTAGATTGTTAGAGTTTGCAAAGAGATTTTAAACTGTGATTTAGACCTAGTTAACTTCTGCAATGAGAATTGATTAGTTATATATTTTTGATTCATGTTCAAGACGGTTTTAATTCATTCCTGATTGCATGCATTCTACATTCTCGGATTCAACCTGCGAATTGTCTTGACTTAGCGCCTTTATCTTCCTGAATTTTAAGAACAAGCATAAAAACGCCCACTTGCATTTATCTTACTGTTTTTCATTACATTCATTATTTATCGTATAGCCTAATCTGAACCTATAATTGATAGTGTAGTTTACATACTCCTTAGGGATTCGATACCCCTTGTACTACAATTGTTTTGTTGTGCACTTACAGTAGTTTTATTTGGGTAAAACCTGAGCTCTATCAATTTTTTGGCGCAGTTTCCGGGGAGTAATAGCTGCCTATCGATTTTTTGTATTAGGATTTAGTCTAAGTTTTTATTTGCTTACTAACTTTCTGCTACTTTTCTTTGTGCTGATTTCAGGTGTATGCCTAATCGCAGTACCATAAGCAACACAGAGAAGGAGCTTTTCACCTTAGGCATTAACGAGATAGCTAAGTTGGAGAGGACCATCAGGAAAGTTAAGAAGCAATCTACAATGGTTAATCCACTGATCTTGGTTGAAGATGCAGAAGGTCATTTGGTTGACAGAGAGGGAAACAGGAGGAACGAAGAAGGGCAGAGAATTGATCAAGATGAGAATGTCATTGTTGAACAAGCGGTTCAACCAATGGCACAAGACGTTGGAGCTCATGTTGCTGCTAACAACGCTGTTACGCGTTTTGTACAGAGGACCCTAGGAGATTACAACAGACCTGATCAGTTCTATGCCAACAGAGCTGCAATCCGCCCTCCTGCTTTCCAGAGGAATGATTTTGAGCTTAAGCCTGCTTATTATCAGCTGGTGGGACAGCATCCATTCCATGGCTTACCTCATGAGCATCCAATGGATCATATTGAGAGATTTGAGGATTTGGCTTCAAGTGTCAAAGCTAATGGAGTTAGCAATGACTTCCTGTTCTGCAAGCTGTTCCCTTACTCACTTGGAGGAGATGCTGCTTATTGGCTGAAGCAACTGGAGCCTGCTTCATTAACTATTTGGAAGGACACCAAAAATGCCTTTCTGAAAAATTTCTATGATGATGCTAGATCAGAGGACCTGAGGACGAAAATTGCATCATTCTCTCAAGGTCCTACTGAAGCTTTTAAGGCTTCTTGGCTGAGATTCAAGTCTTATCAAAGGGACTGTCCTCATCATGGTTTCATTCAGGTGCAGCTACTTGGGATTTTCTTCAGAGGCATTGATTGGAAGTATCGGATGGCGCTGGATGCAGCTAGTGCATGAAACTTTGATAAACAGAATGTTTTGGGGTTGAATATCAAAGTACAAATGCACTGTTAATGATGCAGTATAGGTGCAAGAGGTATCAATCCAGCCTGGGTGATGAAAGACACTAGGAATGCAAGAGCAATGCAAAGCTAAGCAGAATCGGGTAAATAGATAGTAAAACCGATAAAAACTAAATG